GGGAACCGTTATACTAATTACAAAGTTCAGAGAGCATAAACGTCTTTTATGACACCGACCGAAGTCGATAGTATCAGCGTGTGATGCGACATTATTGGCGGATTATATGTATAATTTTATGTGTATAAACCGGTCTGGGTATATTTTTTTTGCAGACAGGCGACATTAAGTTTCTACAACTTATCGATGCACAAATGCCGTTATCAATGAAATACGTAAGTACTTTTGTTTTCAAAAACTTGTATTCTTATTTTATCAATTTTCGTTTTATTTTATTAAAATACTCTGTTTTAAAATAGGCTTCAAAAAAATCCTTTTACCTTAAGATAAGAATCCTCTAAATGTAGACAAAATGAAATTTATTTCCATTATTTTTATTATTTTAAAAAACCAAGAATGTTAAATAATTACAACTTTCTTATCACTTAAGTTAAGTTGACCTAATGTAAAAAACTGTAATTATTTAGCTTTTTGTTTTTTTATATACATATAGTAGCCCAGTTTTTTATTCTATATAGCTAATAAATTGTTAAATAAAAATATTTGTCGATGAAAAATAGACATAGTCAGATGGATTTTATACAATCTTCCTACTTTGAGAATATACAATTTTTCGATGTGTCTAAAGTAGCTAGCTCATCATGATTGTTCATTCACAGAGTCGCAAATTGTAAATTCCGAGGCTTTTTTCGGTCTCCACGTGGACCCGTATCGTCTATAAAGCGAGACGGAGTCTCTTAAACGGCAATGAGCCAAACAATGGCATTGCGATATACTCGTCGAATTTAATTTAAAGACAGCGAGTCCATTGTACGCGCGAGAATGTATAAATAGACGCGTATAGCCTACGCACCGCAGTTTTACGCTACCGAAGATCTTGTCGTGAGACGAATTTACATTTACGGTTACAGGTATCCCTCGTGAAAAGACTATTGAAATTGTTACAATTTTCTCCTCCTAAACGACGTCTTATGTAAGCTCCTTTTCCGGCGGAGTACAATTTGCATCACAGAGCGAATCTGTTTGAATTGCAAAAAATTTGGACTTATTCAAATAAATTTATTTACGGATGACGATTAACGACTACTGACATATGTAATAAAACATTAAATTAAACTATCATTATGTGCCTAGATTCAAGACATTTTGTTTAATTTTTTTTATCGAATTGATGGGAATTATTTTAACATATAAAATGAAGAAATAGTAAAGATATAACGAAATTAAACAAAATAGACATCTAACATTTTTAAGAAAAGATTTTATATGTGAAAAATATTTTTTAAATTTATTCACGGCTACTAACATATAATAAAATATTAAATTAAACTATTATAATCCTCCTAGATTCAAGATTTTTGTTTAATTTTTTTTACAGAATTGAAGCGAGTTTATTTTAACATATAAAGTGAAGATATAACGAAGAAAGCAAAATTTAAAAAATAGAGATCTATTATTTTGAAGAAAAGAGATTTTATATATGGAAAATATTTTGTAGCGATATATAATTTGAAAGAAAAATACTTTGAGGAGACAAGAAGGAAGGAATAAAGAGGAAATAGGTTTGAGGCTTTGAGGGATAAAAGACCGCAAATGCTTCTCATTGACTTTCTACCTTTCAATTTATGGAATTGTAACAATGCGCAATTTAATCGCGGATGATGGAAGACGCTTGGTTGGTAGGAGATCACTTAATGGCCGGTACTCGATGACGGTAATGTCGTTCAGTGCCTGTTTTATTGCCGTTTGCGCCAGTTCAGAACTGAGGTGAGGACATTGTTCGAACGTCTGGGAATCTCTCATGATTGTCGCGCTCTCCATTCTCGTAATAGTTGCCGTATTCAAATACCGATCTGCCGACGCTCGTATACATTTGCCCGGTTTGTTGAGCAACGGAAAAAAAGGAGATAAAAGATCCTCTAATGTCGTTTGTGTAATATCGCTTGACACTGTCGCATTCTACTCGATTTTGCAAGGACCGAAAAAAAACTTCCGAGTTTGTATTGTTTTATCTATAACTTCCTGTAATATATTTATAGCTAATATATATATGATTCTATGTGCTTCCTTCGAAGAAAAAGGAAGTTTATGAGTAAAAATATATAATAACAGCTATTATATTATTATATTATTTCTTGTATATATTATTACGATATAATCAAAAACTGAGTCACCAGTTTTTAACTTATAAATAATAAGTATTAAATTATATTATATAATATGAATAATAATTTGATTAAAAAAATTTTTATTTAGCTATTAATTATTTTTATCGCTTAATAAATATTCTTAATTCCAATCTTTACATGATTTATAATTCACGATAAAATTCAAGAAAGAATTTATGTCGTATATTTTAATGAATGCTTCATTATGTGTATTTTGCTTCAAATATAGTTTCTGTATTGCATATAAAGTTTTGAATAGAATTTTATCATAAAATTAAAAACTTATTTAAATTTTGGATAAAAATTCAGTCAAATATTTTTAATTTTAGGCGCATTTATGCAAATAAAACAATGTATAAATTTTCGAATAATTTGAATAAGATCACTTTTTGTATGTACATTACATCAATGCAATATGTAGTATTCTGATGATTTCAATAGTAATATATTTATCAATAATCTTCTACTTGTGCCTCGTGTATCGGGCGATCTTACGTGTTCCCTGTCCCTCGAATGGGCGCAGTCAAAGAGGCGCGCGCCTGAAGGCACGTAAATTTATGAACGAGGAAATGGCAGGAACGCGCGGTGGAGGAACGTAGCTTTTGCAACGTCTGCTTTCCGGCACGGAACAAACCGTGATGTAAGGGTCGAGCGTGGGCGACTTCGCTTTTTGCACGGGAGTGATCGCAAGCGCAGCTTCTCGGAACTGGTTTTCGAACGAGTTAAATGTCCGATGTGTTTTCGTATACGAGATGTCGAGACGCAAATTTATGGTCCTAGTGACAATACACGTGCGATATCGTCTTATTTTGTATTACGTAAGATTTTTTCAAGCTGGAGTCTCGTGAGAAAATATGGACGATCTATATAATTGCAAATATTCTATGTAAATTCAAACGAATTGTCAGCTTTTTCTTCTTAATTATCGAAAAATTTTTCGAAATAAGAGAATTATATATTATAAGATCTTTCTTAACATTAGATATTTTTAAGTATTTCTAAAACATTTTATGTATAAAATTAAGAATATATATTTTGTTAATAACAAACAGTTGTTTTTATAGTTATTTGACGATTATTATTACAGCAACATATGTGATTATATAATTTTATAATTTATAAGGTACAGTGCAGTGTTTGTCATTGAATGATTGCAATTTATTATAAGGATAAATGAAGTTAATAAGCAGTTAAAAAAAAGACATAAGAAAAGAAATGTTTACGAGTAAGTAACATGTAACATAATCTAATTTAATCATTCAGGATTCAGATCTATATGTACTATGCTTATGCTTTTTCTTTGCCTGTGTGCTATAAAATAATATACTTTTTTAATGTAAAAATAAATCTATTTCGTCTACATTTTTATAAATTAGAAATATCTGATATTAATCCTTAGGGAATTTCTATTTTAAAATAAGAAGATCCATTTCAAAAAAATCATGTCTTGTACACAACGAATCAATTTTAACGAAAACTTTAATTCTTTCTTGAAATTGATGCACTGATATCCGTGTTTGGATCTTTTTTACTCATTTTAAATATATAATTAAATATGATTTTCGAATCGCGAGCCTAAAATCTTAGTTATTACTTCTTAAAATAAGAATACAACTGTTCCAGTGTAGAAGATAATATTTAAATTTACGATCATTTTATATACTCTGAATATTTTAGCACTTACAAATAAGACTTCTGAATTTTCGAAATAATATATTTATAGCATTAATAAACTAATCGACACTTTTACCAAGCACTTAAAAATTTCTGATATCGTAAATTGCGCGTCATTAAAGATAATGCTGCAGATAACATTTACGTCTTATACTAATCAGCTCTAGTTACTGTCGTATTACCATATTTTCTCTTCGGCGAGGTGCGTATACGCGTCAGATGCAACATAGACGAGCGCGAGGCAACTTCCGTAATCATACTCTCGACTCTGTGCGTGCGCGTTCGATTGTCTTTATTCAAATGAAAGTCTCTCTCTCTGTATTCGCGCGCCAATCGATGTTCCAGTTCGCAGATTATCGCGCTCGCAACACTTCGGTCTGCATTTCAAATCGGAGCTCCGGTAATTTTACCGGAAGCGCGTGCGAGACGCCGGCGCCAAAGAAGTACGAATCGAGATTTCGTCGGCGACGTTGAGCAAATAACAGCGCTAATGAAAAAATGCTCCCAAAAACACTCAAGAAAAAAAGAAAGAGTTTTCGGATAATTCCAATACGATACCCAGCATCACGTTCAAAATTAGGACGTAAGATATCTTTAAGAAGTCTTTATGAGATATATCTAAAAGATATCTTAAAGAAGTCTTAAAAGCGTCTTATGTCTTGATTTTGAACATGTTTCGATTCTGATGCTGCCTGGGTAAAATCTTAAAATAATTGTGCAAATATAAAATTAATGTAGCTATTTTCATCCTACACATTTAATTATGAACAGAAAGCAGGAATGTGCATGGGATTCATATTATAAATTGTTATTATAATTTCATTTGGCAGATCACGTGTATATTTATTATGTTTTTATTTATGCACAATGTTATAAGTTTTTATTTATTATAAATTGATGTAAATTATAGCATTTATATTGAACTATTAGCAGTTATATTGAAAAAAAAATCTTTTAGAATCTCTGTGTTTTTGTGATATGTCTATTTCCTTTCTTATATCTTTATTATTTTATTAGTTCTGTCAGCGAGTCCCTAAATTTAGATATTCTCTTCGGAATCGCAATCGCGGGATTCTCATAAATATTCAGGAATGCCGCTTGGGATGCTACGACGTAAATAAAACAAGAAGAAAAAGAGAGAATCGTAAATTGCTTTACCTTATATGCCGTACCATGACCTTGAAGCCGAGGGTGGTAGCACTTCCGTTGATTCGTAACACTTTTCCATTCTTGCTTTGCTCACAATGCGGACCCGAGATAGAGAAAAAAAGAGACAATAAGGGGAAGAAGAAAAAAGAAGAGAGAAAGAGTCAGAGACAGCACTGAGGGAGCAGATGAGATATAGCGGAACGAAAGTGGACGTCGGGGTGGATGACGGAAGAGCACTCGTTTAACAACAACACACTATCCTCACACTCGAGAGATCACTCTTCTTTTTCTTCTTTCACGTGCACAAGTTATCGGCAAGTCGGGACCCGCCTAGGATATGGGAGAATTAAAAATTCGCACAAGCATTCCGCTAACTTTTTTGGATTTCGCGTTCTGGTCTGAACGATAGATCCAATTTTTTCGAAAGCTCCTCGGTTTCTACACTTGCGCGGCCACGTGCTCGAATAACGGTGTTTCTCTGATCAGATACGTCCTTCCCGTTCAGGTAATAGAACACCAGAGTGGAACTCCTGTCCCTTTTTTAATAGCCCACACACACATACACACACCAACACCGTAAAGGAATGTTAAGTCTCTCAAGAATTTTGCGAGAATTTCGAGAGAGGTAACTCTGTGTGTTTGTATTCCTTTTGACTAGAAGTTTTTTGCGACCGACGCGCTAGACGATTATCCCGATTTTTGTCATCTCACAAACAACAGTTCTGTTATGCACAGCAAGAATTCCAGGAAGGATTTCCGAGGGATCTCCGCATGCCGAGCCCAAAACAATGCAGACCCGAGATATTCGCGTCGACTGACGAGACTACTCCTGACCTGTTTCAACGTTTCCCTTTCTGTCTCTCTCGAGGAGCGACGGAAGGAGCTTAACCACCGTTGCTCACCACCGTCCGACGATCGTTTGGCGGCCGTACTCCGTTGTCCAGGTCCTCTCTCGCAAGGCGTGTGATATCCCTCTCCCCTCTCACTCACCTTCCCGGCGCGGGACGAGGCGGAATATCAGCAAGAGCGGTTCTCCTCTCTTGGAGGAGATTCGTGAGACGCGAGCGACGAGAGCGGCGGAGTGGTCCGTAAGTAAGGTGGTGAGTAAGCCGCGACACGGATACACCCATACAGACACCGGGGATATACCGTATGTACCGTCGCTCGGGTACCGTCGATTGGGCGGGGAGACTGAATCCGTAGGCTGGCGGGTAGGTTAGTAAGTAGGTAGGTAGGTAGGTAGGTAGGTGAGCCGTACACAAGGGAAACCGAGAGAAGACGTCCGACACACACATACATATCACTAGCGGGAAACGCCGTGTATACTCTAATAGCGCTACATATATCCGACAGATAATCAGAGGATATCCAGAAGACATTCGAACATCCTCAGGATGTTCTCTAAACGTTTTCGGGATATGTGTGCAGTTGGGGTATGAATATACCAGTGTGGTCACACGATTGTGGATTGGTACCCTAATAGCACATCTTCGAAAGATGTTCAGAGGATATCCAGAAGACATTCGAACATCCTCAGGATGTTCTCTAAACGTTTTCGGGATATGTGTGCAGTCTGGGTATGAATATACCAGTGTGGTCACACGATTGTGGATTGGTACCCTAATAGCACATCTTCGAAAGATATTCAGAGGATATCCAGAAGACATTCGAACATCCTCAGGTTGTTCTCTAAACGTTTTCGGGATATGTGTGCAGTTGGGTATGAATATACCAGTGTGGTCACACGATTGTGGATTGGTACCCTAATAGCACATCTTCGAAAGATATTCAGAGGATATCCAGAAGACATTCGAACATCCTCAGGTTGTTTTCTAAACGTTTTCGGGATATGTGTGCAGTTGGGTATGAATATACCAGTGTGGTCACACGATTGTGGATTGGTACCCTAATAGCACATCTTCGAAAGATATTCAGAGGATATCCAGAAGACATTCGAACATCCTCAGGTTGTTCTCTAAACGTTTTCGGGATATGTGTGCAGTTGGGGTATGAATATACCAGTGTGGTCACACGATTATGGATTGGTACCCTAATAGCACATCTTCGAAAGATATTCAGAGGATATCCAGAAGACATTCGAACATCCTCAGGTTGTTCTCTAAACGTTTTCGGGATATGTGTGCAGTTGGGGTATGAATATACCAGTGTGGTCACACGATTGTGGATTGGTACCCTAATAGCACATCTTCGAAAGATATTCAGAGGATATCCAGAAGACATTCGAACATCCTCAGGATGTTCTCTAAACGTTTTCGGGATATGTGTGCAGTTAGGGTATGAATATACCGGTTTGGCCACACGATTGCGGATTGGTACCCTAATAGCACATCTTCGAAAGATATTCAGAGAATATCCAGAAGATATTCGAACATCCTCAGGTTGTTCTCTAAACGTTTTCGGGATATGTGTGCAGTTGGGGTATGAATATACCGGTTTGGCCACACGATTGCGGATTGGTACCCTAATAGCATATTCGAAAGATATTCAGAGGATAGAAGATCCTCAGGATGTTCTCTGAACGTTTTCGGGATATGTGCTGTCAGGATATGAATGTGTCGTGTGGCCACACAATTGCGGATTGGTATTTGTGTGTTGTATGCGTGATGTGTAACTGTATGGAGAGGATAGAGCTGCGTATTAACCGTGAGAGACGTCGGTAAAGTAAGGTAAATGTGCTCTCCTCTCTTTCACAGCCACGAAGTAGCACCACGCCGGCACGCGACTTACCGTCCCCCCATTCCTCCTGCAATCTTCCCCACCCTCTCCCTTTTTCTTACCTCTATGCGCGTTCCTTTTCGTGTTTCTTTTCCTACTTCTCCGTTTGCCGAAGGACGTTTCTCCCTCTAGCTAACGTTTCTTCCTCTCCTTCCTAGGTTCCTTCGGCGCTCTTCTGAGACTGTCTTTCCCACTCTCCGGTGCGTCGATCGGGAACCCAGGAGAGGAGGTGGTGTTGATGCACCACTCCCACCCGATAGTCACCGACACACCGGAATCCTCCCAATCAAGCCGACGCGCTCTCGCGGAAATAAGAGAGAGACAGAGAGAGAAAAGGGGGAGAAAGAGATGACGAGGAGTATCGAACAGTTACTATCTCTTCTCTATCGTTACTGGCGGTGTAACCTCCCAAGCAACTAATTTACCTTTGTAACTGTATCGACACTCTGCCGTCCGTGAGTAGATATATATATTCTCGGTTTCTTCTTCATCTCTCTTTCCTTGTTCGTTCGCCTGTTTGGAGTATTCGGAGCTCGAACGATTTATTAAGAGGCTCAAAGATAAGAGGAAATATATACAAAAGCAAGATTAAATAATAAATAATTCTAATAATTGTGTATTTTATAATGTAATATATATTAGAATATATAATGTGTTTTTTTTCTATACAAAAAATTTTACATTTTTTAAATTGAAGAATTTAGATGTTTGTTTTAGACGTTTGTTTTAGATGATATAATTTTTTCAACAAAATTCAAGAAAAATATACTGTTTAGAATTTTATATGTCGTGTGGTACCCTCGAAAAACAGAATAAGTAAAATATACGTCAAGATGTACACATTATTCGACTTTTATCTTTAATTTTATCCCAATTTATAAAAATTGCATAAATAGGACTTTGAGAATAACAAAAATTTAATAAATATCGATATATACATTTTACAATCATCCATCGATATATTTTTTTAACTTGAATTTTAATCCAGTGTTATTAAAAGATCAAATGCACAGAATTTAATTTACGAAATATTTAATATTGTAATTATTGAACAGACACACTATTGCAAAATTTTGCTCAGATAAAATCGACACCGAAAAGATACTCGAGAGATTGTCTCCTTGTATTGTGTATCAATTGTGACTTCTGTCTGCCTCTTTTCTCCCGGCCGTACTAATTCATCTCTGCAACTGTATTGTGTCCCATCCCCACCATAAGATACTTTGCTCCGGTTTCTCTCCACGATGACAATCCGGTTGTCCTAGGACCGGACCAGCCTGTTGTTACCGTTTTGTATTCCGCTGGTGGTTTAAACGCCTTTCAATTCGTTTTCTCTCTCTCTCTCTCTCTCTTTCTCTTTCTCTGACCAGTCTCGTATTATGCCTTCAGCGTGTTGACGAAAAAAAAATATTTTCTTTATTACCTAATTAATTTTTATTGACTCATACCATTCTATTTTTTTTATCTTATTGTTAGATTATTTAAAATTACTGTTATTTATAGGTACAACAATGATTAGTTTTCTAATATTTGAATCGATATACAGTTTATTATTATTATTTAATAAGGGAAATTATGTTAAATCGTACCGTTCGTTAAATCATATTTATGCTGTATTTCCTCAACAGAGTTAAAATATTTTAAAATGCTAACGCTGTTGTGTCACAGTTAGTCTCACTTAAATGCCATAATATTAGTTTTTCTTCTCAAGCGATTTATTTAGTGGCGTAAATAAATATATTTTGTGTGATTTTCATGTAATTTGGCACATCGTGCCTAAGCTATCACATCGAGAAAGATAAGCAATTAAACTTATTATTAAAATATCTTTTTATCTTATTTAATTTTGTATACGGAAACGCTGAAAAAATTGGCAAAATGTTTTAAGATTATTTTTTTATTAACAAATTTGACAAAGTAAAGGAAGTTTGGTAAATCGTACCAAATAACACTTTTTTTTTAATTTTTAATTTACAATATGAAACAATGCTAAATTTTTTTGATAGTTTAGTATTGCAATTTTAATATTTACCCCTTAGGAGATATAATTTAGCATACTTCCCCCTATATATAATGAATAGCAAAAAAATATATAGGAAAATAATTATACTTTTTATAATCGTTTGAAGATAAATCTACAGAGAAATACCTAGAAATTGACATAAGTAATTGTATCATATTATTATAATACAAGAGAAGAAAAAATATATATACAACGTTTCTTTATTTCATTGAAAACAATTTTAATTTTACGAAATTTTTATATTCTCGAGCCTTGAGTGAAGACATGTCGATCGTGACGCTCGCGATTTTCTACGGATCACTCATCGTTATGTCGGCATATTTGACGGAAATTTTATCCGACTTATGAGTTTCTAGGTCAATCTCTAGTTGGCTTCTTAGCGTCAGATTGCTCCATGCAGCCTAAGTAAGCACGGCGAAGGTAAATCGAGGAGGCGAGGTGTATACGCCCTGCGAGACTTTTAGATCATCATCGAAACCTCGTGGATCTCCGCGCCTTATTGTGCAATCGCCTCGATGATCATAGCACGGTCCTGACACAGTTACCTGGTCAGGGCGTTACGGTCCGAGGAGGATTAAGACGAATAAAAGAAAAAAAATAATGGCAAAAAGAAGAGCGAAGAAGAGAAAACACGTAAGCCATTCTCGCAATAGAAAAGGCTCTTCCTTGGTTTCATGGTTTGATGACCTTTTTTGCGATCTTTTGTTGGACAAAAAGAGGCGCGCTTCTGATCCTTCTCTCGCTGTAGCTCTTCTCCAACAAATATATATGTCGTTTCGATTCTCTTCGGTGTGTGTCAGACAATTTTTTGACTTTCAGCTCCGGCTGTCATTCTATCATGTTGACTTAAAAAACTTGACGATCGCCATCGAGCCTTGCAGAATTGTTAATATGGATCTCTTTACGATTCTGCGTGGTCCACTAACAATAAGATTGCAGACATGGCTGAATTAATTTCACAGACATTTTAAATACTTACTGTAATAATAAAACAATTTCTTCTACATCATTCAATACTATCGATAGAATGACTACAAAGTACTCCTTTCCATTAAAAAAAATTGTTATTAGAGTGAAAGCGGACATTCAGGATTATTCAAAGTCACTGAAATATGTGTTCCATTTTGTTCTACAATTTTGATAATAGAT